CCACCCTCGTCCTCACGAAGTTGTTGCGAAGTATTTATTCTTCAAAGGAGACAACAGTGCGCTGCTTTGATTGCGCCAGATATCTGGACTAGATCAGACATGAATTTAGATAAGGAGCGATTAAATTATTTATTCCTCTTTTCCAGAAATTTTCTCAGATTTTGTTAAAGAAAAATAAAGGGAAAACAACTTCCAACTACTTTGAGTGAACTCTGGAAAGGTTTTTTTCAATATAAGGACCACTTCTCCCTATGCTCTATATATCCTACAACAGTCACTGTGTTGGAACACAAAAAAACTGGTCATAACGCGAATCCTTCACAAAATTTCAACTTTAAAATACAGTTAGGTGCTCAGTAGGCTCCTATACTATCGAAGACAGATAGTAGACATTAACTATATTTGCAAAATGGTGCGGTTATGATGAATCCACAGCTCTTCTAGAGTCTATTTTGTATCGTTCGAGACGACATATTTTTCATCACAACCAGGGTTGTCGATTGTTTTTAGAAGGGGGGAAGAAAATGACACCAGTGTTCATTAGGTCGTACCGTACCCCCCCCCCCCTCGGGCTTCCATACAATCGGTCATTTCTCCCAGCAACCGTAAAAAATTGGCAGACAGCATTAAAAATTTTCGCAGACAGACAGGCAATTTTGGGAGGATAGCTCCATCCCTCCCTAATCGAAAAGCCTGATCACAACCGCAAAATATTTTCTCACATAAACCGCACAGTGCTACTACATGCATATGAAATCTAGTTAATAACTTCTCTTTTCTGCATTCTCATTAGAAGCTGATCAACATCAACTAATCAAGAACTCTTCATACTCCACTGTAACAGATAGCAGTACTTACGGTGATTATCTTGATTCTCTTCGTGCTGATTTTTGTGCTCGTGCTGCCCATCTTCGTCTTCGTCGTGACTCGCATTCTCTCTTTGGATATGGTGCTGCTGATGGTACCTCTATTTCTAAGTCTGCTCTTCGTGATGGTTATGATTATGATTGGTATGAGAATTGAAATAGAACATACTTGAAATCAGATTTTGCTTTACGTTAGCATTTCTATTGACGTTGAATTTTTGATTGATATTGATTTTTCTTGCAATAAAGAAATATTATGTTCTTGGAAAGAAGTTTGTTGATTTTGAATGTATAGATGGCATGTATGCGTTGGAGATTGTGAGTATGAATAATCAGAATACCCACACCCAGAATAGTATAGACATTTTTTTATCGTTTTTGGGGGAAGTGATAAACCAGCTGGACTTGACCTACACCCAATTTCGCTCATAATAATCATCCAAAATCTTCTAAATAATAAAAATATTTGTCATCTTTTACAAACGGATTGAGTTTAGATTTGTAAATATATATATATATGCCAAAAGCATTTCTTTTTTTTGAATGAAGTAATTGATACTTTCTATTTTCATGGCTTTTTTTTGTAGAGAAATTCAATACTGTATTATAGTTCTTCATCTCTCTATGAACATTAGCAATAATACATTAACTATTTCTGATCACTTCACATATCTCATAAAGATTTTCTTTACCGATCATCTTGATAATTTTTTTTATGCTATTCATTAAAACTAATCTAACATGGCATGAAATCATCCACAATGGCCAGTTTGAGTTCTTCAATAGAAATTCGTAGAAGTTCTGTGTAGATTGACAAGGGTGTGACATGTAGAGGGTGGTTGTGGGTAATAATGAATGTGGATGTATGAATAAACAGGAAACATACACCAACACTGACACCCACACCTTTTCAATATCACTTTTGGCTTTGACTGAGAACATGATTTATTCTTTCGAATTTTAGAGAAAAAAAACACAAGGGGTGAACACAAGTCAGTAGAGCGAGATAGTATGTTATATGTGGACACCTATTCGAATCATTAATAATGCAAACGAGAAGCTTAATCAGGTATCACATACGACTGGTTTTCTTGAATTTTGATAAAATCGTCCCGCTTGACATTGAGCGAGAAAAAAAAGGATCTCATGAAAATTGTCGATGGCTCATACTCCTATCAATATATTTTAAATAATGATAAAAAGTACGCTGTGTTATCATATGCAACTAATCAGCTATTTTCTTAGTATCTGCTTCTTACAGTACGCAAGTATTTAAAGAATCTGACCTCTAAGTCTTATCCTTTTGTTCATCGTAAAAAAGAGACTCTTTCTTATCTTTACTATCGAGATAAGTCAATGTAAAATAATGAAAAATGAAGTGTCTTTCTCTTTAGTTCTACAAGTTTGCAGTCACGGCCGCTTTCATGCATGTGCACGGAAAAGAAAAGAAAAGAAAACGAAACTTTTCACATACACTGTACTCATCTTTTCTTTCTTAGAAAGCGTCCGACAAAGCTCAGAATGCACAATGAAAAAGGACAGAGGAAGAAAGAATCTAATGGAAATTCCATTATCCTAAGTATAGATGCTCTCTTCATTAGCATCCACATTCTTGTTATTGGATTATGAATGGGTTTTTCGAGTTGAATACTTTTCTATATATTGGTACAGGTACAGATACACATATTGTTTTTCGTCTTTCACAGTCAGTAAATGGTTTGAAAAAGTTTTTTCTATTTTTCCATTATCGTATAAATGAGATCAGATCGAACCGAAAGTATGAATCATTTCTACTGATCTGATCTTACTATCATCGGTTAAAAAACCATTTGAGTAATATATAATTTTCAATGAATTGATTTACATGCATACCAACCATAAAAAAATATCATTGAATATTCTTCAATGATAAACAATGATAATAGTTTCAACAAACCAAAAAGAGACAGTTCAACATAAATTAGGAACTAAAAGACAGAATCAACACATAATAGTGTAGGAAAAGATGTATATGATTGTTATTGATTTTTTTTAGATTAGAATAAGATACGTAAATTAATGCATTATCGTTTTGAGAAGATAATCTTGTAAATCATATGAATCAGAACATGATTCACGAGAGATGACACAAAAAAGTGCTATTTGTAGACTAAATAAATCGAAAAAAATGAGCCTTGAAGAGTTATTTAACATATGATACAAATAAATCTTGAATTCGATATTTATAGACTATGATAAAAAAAAGAAAACGTGATTGAAGAACTATGCAGCATGATGATGAAGAAATGTGTCTCAAAATAAACAAAATAAAACAATATCACTGTGAATACTAACAGCAGCTACATCGCATTTTCACATTGTGATCCTGCAGGCATGGGGCTAATCACGTTTTTTTGAAAAATAAACAAATGATATAGAACGATTTAAAATTATGGCTCAAATATCCTCTTCAAAGTAATATATTGAAGGAGAACGTTAAAAATGTTTTATTCAACAGCTGATGAAGTTTAATGATTAACAACTTCAATGAAATGAAAATATGTCTCTCGAAGAATTCTTTTAAATTTATTCAATGAAAAACTGATTATTGATCACGATCTCAATAGTTGAATGACTAGTCAACTACTGATAAAATCATATTTCATCAATAAAAGTAATTGAATCGGTTCGGTTCGGTTTGAGTTGGACCTTGATCATCTAGCTGATTATCCTAGATTCGGAACAGTTGTAACGCAAAAAAATTTACTATCAATCACATGTGTAGAGTTTTTATTTCCATTACAATAGCAGATGACAACAATTTACAATTTGAAAATATTGAAGTTTTTGAATATTAATATCGAAGATCGATAAGAGAATTAGAACTATTGAGAATAAAAAAAACATATTGTTTTTAAATAATTGAAGTCGAATTTGTTCAAAAGATACGCTAATGATTCTATTAATGACATATTTTTGTTTCTTTCGAAAAGACTCGTAAAAAAAATCAATTGAATTCAAACTGTAATTATGTTAGACTTCTTTTTTCAAAAATCTGCGTTGCATGATATTTCAATTGTTACACTTGCTTTCTTCGATGCATCATTCCATTAGAAAAACAAATGTGCATCAAAGTCTATGAGTCATCGACAAATTTCAATAAACGTGAGTTATCATTCTTCAAGCATTCCTTGTGACCTGTGTTTGGTACATCGAAAAAGAACGGCGGCTCTGCTTTGCTACTCTAAGAGTCTCAAAAATAGCAGCTCATATGAATTATCATGAGGTTTTTTTTATGGAGAAAACAGACGAATGGCTTTGACTAAAATATTTCTATGATTAAAAAGCTGTTTGATTAATTGTTGGTCTGGAAGGAATTATGAACTATACTACCATAGAAATCAAACCACTGTGCTTAAAATCTTGAAAATCTAAACTTCGAGTACGACTAAATGCATTCATTGTTTAAGTTTAAAATAAACAAAAGAAAGTCTTACGACCAAAAAAAAAATTTAAACATATAGCTGAATCATGTCCACTGTTGTTACTGAATCCATTGTTAATGATTGTTCTCCGACTGGAAATCATCGAAACAATGAGAATTATAGTTCGTTGTTTTCTACTTAGGCAGCAACGTATTTGTGACTTCTTTTAACCATATCTAATTGACCAATCAGAAATTCATTTCGAAACATTGTTTAGACAATGATTTTGTCCTATATGATGACTTCTGACGCAATAAACATGCTTCGTATGACTGAACATGGAAAAATATTCAACTTTCTTTTTTATGGCGACGCCGTTGCTGCAAAAAAGAAACGGCTGACACATCTATGTATGATACGAATTGATTGGTTGACTTGTTCGATTTTTTGTCCATTCTTTGTTTCTTGTCCCTTTAAAATGGAAAACATGATTAAAAATTGCCAGTCTATAGAAAATTTCATAGAAATGACATCTTCCATTTCTGTTGAAAAACAAACACTACTAGTATTTTGTTATTGCTTGTACATAGCAATGATGGTTTCTTGTTTCATGACCGTCATGTTGAATATCAACAAGTACTCCATTTATCGTCAATATGAACTTGATGCAAAAGATTTCTCGTTGCAAACAATCTGTTGTATCGATGATGTCGTCTCACGTTCTCAGGAAATGGAAAGTTCCACATTGACGATAACTAATACTACATTTCTAATTTCATTCAAAGTAACTTCCAATGGAAATAGTACAGAACTATCATTTGAAGAATGGTCAGTTCCTGTACCACTCAAACCGAATCTGGTCAGCATAATCATACAAATGCCATTAATTTTATATTAATCTATATTTCTTCTATTGTTTTTAGATAAACAGCACATATTTATGCTTTATTGATCCAAGTGATATTCGACGACGACCGCGTCAACATAAACCGAATGTAAACTTGGCTCTCAATGCTGTTATCGGTTATCTTTTAATACCTGGATCAATATTCGGATTAGGTGTCATTGTAGCACTAGTCATTTTCATTAGTCAACGGTTATAAATGATTTAAAAACCATGTCCATCAATTCTGTTTCGTATATGAACATATCCTACTAATTCAACATAAATAACCAATTAGTTTTTTTTAATTATTCAGTTTTTATTCTGGAAAATAAATGAAAGCTCATAGAAAGTAGAACGAAGACATCGAATTGTGGGTTGTGAAGTGTGGGTGTGGGTGTTAGCAGCGTAACCAGAATTTTGACGGTGGTGGGGCGATGATGGAGCTCTAGCTGCCGAAATTCTGCTCAATGGTGGGGCTTGAAATGGAATTTGGCTGGAGCAAGTTTCTTGGATGGTGTGGCTGAGCCTCACCTGGCCATACCCTGGCTACGCCACTAGTGGGTGTGGATGGGTACCTACTCTTCACGATAACCCCCATACCCACACTCTTATTGCAATTATGAGGGTGTTGACAGAATATGGATCACTGAAATGAATCTCCACGCCCTGAATTATGTAATCCCGTGTTATAGATTTTTATGGCATATATAGATGAAAAACTCGATATGATTAGGTCTGTTATTGAATAAACGCGCCATTTTTGTCGATATAGCATTTGTCGAACGTTACGAGCAACAACTATATGCATATATTGATCTCCTTTCGTTGTTCTTTTCTTCCTAGGAAACAGAATTTTTTTTGCATTCCTCCGTCGCATTTTTAGTTGACACATGCTATGAGATTCGTAAAGAAACAAGTAACAAGACACGTTTTTTCATTTGATCTGTCTCTTTCTTTAAAGTGTACATAATTCTAAAATGCATTCAACGGTAAGTAGAATGGAGTAAAATTGTAAATTAGCTAGTCGAGAGTAAATAACAATGATATTTTCACCAAGCCTTTTCACATTAACTGCGAAAAAATATTCACATGTTTTTCTGCCCTTCCTTGTCACAGTTTAGTCATATAACGAGTACACGCTGCTTGAAGATGTCGCTTTGGTACAGCTGAAATGTAGATGGATACAGAAGAAATGTGTAGATTTGTCTTAAGCCGAGTTTATGTTTTTGTACGAAGGTTTACAGATGTGAAATGGTTGTTATAGATGTCTCCTGTTTCTACTTTCGAAATACTGCCCGATGAAATATTATTATATGTATGCCACTATCTTCGAGGAGCCGATATCCTCTTCTCGTTTTTCAATCTTAATGCTCGCCTCAACGCTACAATAACAGACTATTGCCGTTATGTAAATTTGATGGTTGTTTCACACCGACAATTTCAATGCGTTGTCTCTTGTATTCTACCAAAAATCGGTTCTTCTGTTCGATATTTTGTGTTAAATTTGAACTGGGAAACAATAATGTCTGCAAAAGCATTTGCCGTCCTTTTCACAACACGCATGTCATTCATTTTTCCGCAACTTGAAAGATTAACACTTAAATCGTTCACCGGTGAGAGACTATTATCGTTTCTTGATATCCTTCAAGACCATCCGCAGCTCGTCCATCTTGACATCCGATTTCTCAAGTACGTCAATCAAGACGAATTACTGATGAAAGTCCTCGATGCTAATAATGGACGCCTTCTTTCATTATCGTTCGATCAAAGCTCAGATTATTTGAATGTGTTCCAAGACAACGAAAAAATTTCCTATCCGAATATTCACGAACTTACGGTAAATTTAAAGCTAGGTCAAATGTTGCCACGTCTCTTCACACTCTTACCCAATGTACGTCGTTTACATGTTGACCTTGATGAACTATCAGATAGTCCTAATTTCAATCGAACATTCACCACCTTGTCATCTCTTGTTCATCTCATCGATTTTGAATTACATTCGATTAATCTGTTCTGGACATTTAATGAAATCGCTGATGTATTGTCCCTGATGCCTTCGTTGCAAATACTCACACTTGATTTGCGTACAGAAGACGAACGTCTTGTCAAAAAAGAGAATTTATCTTTGATTGTGCCTTCATCTCTTCAACAGATTCATTTTTTCATTCGCTATTACCTTCCTGAACCAAATTGTGAGATAGATACTTTGCTTACTTCGTGGTCCGCTGATTTGTCGATCACCTACATGTTGGAGGAAACACGAAATCGCGTACTACTCCATACTGTTCCTCTTGGTCTAAACTCAGTTATTCTATCAGCAGCAATAGGTAAAAATATGTTGACTGGCTGGAAATATATGCAGGATGTTGAAGATTTGTGCGTTCATGATGCAGCATCATCTAGAGAAGCGTTTGTCATAATACAGCATTTTCATCGACTTCGAACACTCAAAATTCACGTACAAAACAAAGCAGAAATCGGTAAGATTTTTTGCTAATTAGCTTTGCAGATTTTCATGCGAGGGTACTCAAAAATAGTTTTTCAATTCTTTCTCAAGCGAATTATCTCATCCTATACATTTCTTTTTTTCTTCTGTATCACCTATCAGTACTGAACCTCATTAAATTAAATCCATCCAACTTGAACATGAACGAGTCCTTCGATTCAGTTTTGGTTTGATTGAAGGACTCTAGAACTGAATGGTAATATTGTTTGTTTTTGATTATAGTAGCGGTAGAGAAAGCGACTCAACCGATTATTCTAAAACTACCTCGACTCCAGAAACTTGAAGTGACTGGAACGTGTGAACTATTCCACTTGCTTCAAGTAGCCCCCAATCTTGGTCATTTGATAATCGATTTCGATTGTCTCAAAGCTCTCCTCGACGACGAATCTACATGCCAACTATTGCAAAAGCGAATTGTTCGTCTCGTTATCCCCGACTTCGTGTACGTTGAATTGGATATACTTCAACGCATCGCTCAAATATTTTGCTATCTTTATGAATTGATCATAATTCTGAAAGACACGACAACACTTATTGACTCTATTATATTGGCCATACTTGATCTATGGAATGGAAAAAAACTTGTTTCACTCTACGTCAAAGGTTCATTATCAGATGAAGCAAGTAGAGATCTTCGCCAATGGATGATTGATCATACTCATTTAAGCGTAGAAGGCTCATTTGCAGTCAAATATCAAGACTACTTCTTTGATTTATGGTTTTAGGTATGGTGCAATTATAGCGACAGTGCAGACATTTTTGTGTTTAATTTGATCCCTATACCATACTCTGTCGATATCTGAAACTATTTTCCATTCAGAAAAATATTGACACTGTTAAATATATTATGTTTGCCACAGATTACAATATGGCATAGACTATATAAGAAAAAAAAAGTACATTAGTTGCGTTTCTTAAATTGAAAATATAGTATATATTGCTGACCAACGAAACAACAAGTATTGTATAACTAAAATATCTTGCAGCAGAAGGATTCTGGTATTTTATCAAACAGCTTGCAGTATATATTCATCAAAGTAAGTATTCAACGTGTAAACCTTCCAAAAATATTCATAAAAAAATCCAGTATGAGTAATACTTTATCAATAATCAAGTATTTAATTCTGTTTGACAAAACTCGTTTTATGTCCAACCGATAATAATGATATATTTTCAGACTTATTGTACTTTCAAGACCATTTATTATACACGTATAGCTTTATCCCAGATAACAGTTGATAAATAGTATTGAAGAAATCTCTTTTTTTTATACTTCATGCAGCGTTCAATATATCATCTCGATTCAACCTAACTAGGTCTAAAATTTTTCTGGTTAAAAGCTGACATCCTCTACATATCACAGCATAAACTTCAAGACCCAACACCTTGATAGAACAAAAAGTCACATATTCTGCACATGACAGTAACTTTTCTTGAAATAGAATACCTATTGATTATTTCTTTTATCGCGATATTTTCTATAGGCTAGTATTTATTTGAGCAATTAAAAAACTGAAGTGAGCAATAATGAAAATACGAATTAGTAATAATTGTTGAGCAATAAAAAATGTTTTTTGAGCAATTTTATATTATGAAATGGACAATAATTAATTCATTGCATTGCAGCAAGAAATTTATATGTTAATAACAAAAAATTATTGCGTGACCAAAGATTTTTTGGCTTTAGATGGTGTGGGTGTGGTTGTAGGTGATCAAAAGATAAACACCCACAGTCACACTCACACCCACACCTACCCACATCCACACCCACACCCGCCACACTCTCGATCGGGGTGGCCCTGGTTGCTTAGTCGGCTTCCAGCAGAAAATCACATTGAGACTCGAACCAATGAGTCTGTACTCCAACTGAGTTTCAGAACACTAAACAGAATGAAGATTATTTTGAACTATAACGCAAAATTCTTAGTAATATCTGTTATTTTTTGTAAGGTACTATATTGTTTATGAAAACTAGAAAATGTTGACAATATCCATACAGTAAATATATTGACAAGAACTAAATATTCAACATTAACATCAATCAAGTTTTGAAGCAACACAAAAACATGAAGGCAATTTTTGTTCAGAATCTTCTCTTTTATATTGACGTAAACAGAAGGTCAAATGTCACTTGCTCGTTCGCAAATTTCTGATTAAGTACCAGCACTTATTGTCATAGGAGCAACCCTACGTTGACGTCGTTGGTGATAAAAGAATGCTCGTGGCCATAATTCTGGTAAGCAGCCAAAACAAACAATTGGTAAAAATAAAACGACATAAGTAGTTAAATAGAAAAAATATGGCTCAACATCACTACCAAAACTACTCATATTTGGTTGACTTTGTACAAAAGTAATCAATGCTTGAGGCAGAGTTATAGATAATGAAAGAATTGAAATTGAAAGTAATTGTATGCTCATTTTTCGATATTTTTTCCAATGAAAACGTCTTGTTGAAATATATTTTCTCCAAATTATTCGAAAAAGTAATGAAATACTAAAAAATGCTTCCAAAATATTGCATAAAACTCCATTAAAAAAATAATCCCACGTATTCATCCATGTTATATCTTGATAACATGGATATGAACCACATGCTAAATCATTTGAATAAAAAATATTTTGACATGGTGGGAATAAAATTACACCAACATAAAATCCAATTAGATAAATTGAAATAATTATTAAAGGAAAATAATGTAAATAAAATATTTTACGTTTTGTATTAAGAAGCTGTCGTCGATAGAATATGAGAATATGTCTTTCGAATGAAGCCCACAGAAGAAATATCGGTATCGCACCATAAAATCCATAATCAATAAACCACCATAAAAGACATACACCTGTTGAAAATGGAAATGAATTTCCATGAACCATGCGCAATCCATCAAGATAAAATGAATTATCAACAACCAAAATAATCAAACATACAAAAAGTAGAACTATTACAACATGATTTTGTAATTTTCTACGTAAACGTCGATTAAATATTAAATAATAAAGAAGATATATAGTACAAAAAAGTGATGGAATTTCAAACACAAGATATGTCCAAAATTGTACTTTAGCTGATGGAATAATCAATTCTTCATGATCATAATCATATGAATAGGTACTATTTTCAGTTTCATTGTCAACCATGATACATACAACGACGTGTTTTTTTTATTACAATAAAATTTGTATGAAGAACAATATTTTCTTGTTTTTGATCACATTAATTCACTGATGAATACAATACCATGTGAAAGAATGATCTAGAGTGAAAAGAAAAAGTGGAAGAAATATGAAGAAAACCTATTCGCATGAACTTAACAGGGTGAATGCTTTTTTCTTGTAATATAGTCATATTGTTAAATATATTTGAGATATTGATGTCTACAGAATACAAAAAAGAGATTTTTTTAATCCTGTATCTAATGCTCTTAATAGAAAAGATCATATTTTTCAAGATATGTTATTAAGCTTCTTAAAAAACTAACGCAAGAGCTTTCTAGTTTAACATGTAATTATTTTTTTCCAATCAGTGAAGACTTTTTATAAGAGAATATTTATTTGAGCTGTTAGGTTCTAGACAATAACTCATCTAGAAATATTGCCCATGTAGGTCGAGATAAAAATTTTTATCAACAAAAAAAATCACAGAGGAATAGTTTTGATATCAAAACAAAATATGTGCGGAACCAAGTTTTGTTGATTCTCGATGTCTGTCTGCTTCGGATCGTAATCTATTAAATTTGATCTAGTTCCATCTTAAAGAAAACTATGTCACAATTTACTCGCATTAAATCTAGAAACAATGTTTTAAATAATTTGTTTTTGATTAACTCAGTCAATAAATGTCACTTGTATTGTGAACATATCTTCTAAATGTTGCTGTGATTGTTGTGACCTTTAACATAATTCACTAAAAATCATCGAAAATCTAATTTCAATTTTTAGTTCTTGTTCGAACAGCTTTTGGTCTTGTCGTACCGGTTCAGGTAAATTTTTATTTTGTGGTCGTAGTCCCACACATCTTTAATGAAAAATATTATTCTTGAGACGAAAATAAACGTGAAATATTGGTAATATGTTTTATCAAGAAGCTATTGTTGAATAATAAGATTCAACACAAAATACTTTTCGGCGCGCTTTCCTTTTTATCAATAAATATGACATAAAGTAACAAAAAAATATATTCGTTCACCTTTATTGTAAAATTTATTAGTGCAATTTCATTGGGATATGAATAGATAATATGAAGTCATCATTTTAAAATCTCATAATTGCGATCTTGTGGAGCGTGATCTAAAGTGTAGGGAAACACTTTTTGTTCCGTTAATGGATAATTCAAATCGTATTTTGTTATTGACAATTTAAATGCCACTAATATATGAAGAAAATCTCTCTATCTGTATCATTAATTAGCTTGACAAATAGAAAGTTGATCAAGACTAATTAAGCCTATGAGCATAGATGTATTTTTTGGCACAACAGTTAACTTTCTATGTAGTATATTGTTTTACAGCTAGTCTAAGAAAAACTACCCTAAGTATTAACGTCGTCGCATAACCAAAATTGAATATTGTTTATTTTCCACTGCTTGGACTCGACATTTTATTTTAATAAAAGTTAAATACTAAAATTTATTTATCTGCGAGATATAGGATGCTCGTATTTTCATCCAAAAAAATCCTGAATATTGATAATTTTTCGTAGCCCAATGACGTTTTCTACCTTTTTCTTTATTTCTCATATTTAGAAAAGAACATTTTCCAACAGTAATTTATTATCTGTAAACTATAAGTACTCATAGAAAAAAAAAGGATGCAACAAAACGGATAAAAACGCGTTCGTCAGACGCTTTTAGCATTCTTTTTGGATGCATTTTTTTATTCAAACAACACGTTTTTATCCGTTCTTTTTCATCCTTTTTTCTATGGATAATGAGTTTTGTTATTAAAAACTAATGGATGGTACATGAGAATAGCCAGTTTTTGCATTTTCTGTCTGTGGTTCTCTGAAATATTCTTTTCAAAATCAAATGCATTGTAGAAAGTGGCAAAGCGAGCGGTACATTTTGGTATTAAAGATGTTATTTCATATATATATATATCTTTGTTTTGAGACTAAACAAAACTTGAAAAGAAAAAATTTTGACTCTGCGAAAGAGAGTAGTTTTTGGTACATAAGTGATACTTTATTACCTTATCAGTTAAAGAGTTGTCAATTTTAATCGTATTGAATTGAATACTTTTACCAATCTTTTCTTACCTATAACTACTTTTAGTACTGATATCAAGATTTGAGGGGCCACCATCAAATATTACAACAGTACACCAAGTTCTCTTCACTGCATATTGATGACTGCTTTTGTATATATGACGTGCTATTTTCCTGTTGATAGATGAACTCATTATCTATCAATTGTTGACCTGTAGAGCGTGCTGCAATATTTGTTTCTTACTGGAAAGAACGTTACATCTTTAGAACTTCTGTGCCTAGAGAGACGAATAAGGCGTGACAAATGAGTATCAGGAAATAAGATATGAAGCAACCTTTCCAGATTATACTCATGTGATGCATAAAGAACTTAGTATATTCTCTCGGTAACTGATGATGATTGTCTAGAACTCTTAATTTATATACTGTAAATAATTCTAGTTGAGACGACGTCGATAAACGTATGCAATCAAATGGAGTGAAAATATGTGGTTCATTAACTAGCAATAGAGTACTATAACGCTGAGTACCAAAAGATGCTCTATTTTGCCATCTTGGAAAATATTTCAATTAAGTTTTGTTTAGCCGCAAGACAAAGACATACTTACGAAATAAGGTTTTAATGATAAAATGTAGAGCTCGTTTTTGCTCTGTTTTGTTATGTATTTCATTTTGAATAAAGCATTTCAGTGAGACAAAGAGAATAAATGCAAATATCGGTCATGCGTTATATGCCATCAATCACATACACATCGCTGAACATATTAATCAATCTATTGTTTTTTTTTTATGATTCGTACTGAGATGATAAGTAAATAGTACAACATTGAATATGTCTTACTAATGTTATTGAGAACAAATATGTTACTTTGTCTTTACACAACCATACATGTAGACACAAAAAGCTTAGAAAAAAATGATTAAAAAATGTAGCATCATCGTGTTGCGTTGATTAAACCGTTCTCTCATCAAAATACGAAGCCTATTTTAAGATTATTGTTTTTCGTTGGATATTATAAACTGACAGCTACAAACCGTCTATAGAAGGTTTCTTTTAATTTAGAAAACATTCGTAGAAAAATCAAGAACGAACGCATCACTCTCATTTTTTTTGTCATTCTTTCATCATCACGTTACCTCAACTATTTTTGCGATACCTTTTAAACAGCTCATTGAAACGAGCTCATTTATTCAGCGACTCGGGGAAAGGTAAATGTACATCAGCCAAGAAAGGAATGAACACTCTAGGAAACCTAACTGCTAAGAAAATTTAATAATATTGTGATGAAAATGTCATCGTGCTACGCTCAGACAAGCCGATATATATTCGATACTTGATCCAATGTATCAAGTAATATTATATCAATAATACATGACGAGAAAATTTTTTGAGCTGATAAATCGCTTTGAAACAGAGACTGCTTGCATTGTTTAGATATAAATGAGCTATGAATATCCAGAAAAGAGTTATGAGTCTTAGCTAATTCCTGCGGAGATAATACATTTTTACGGTATTTTTTAAAAGAATGTCATGGTCCTTCTCAAGAAAACAAAAAAAACTCATTTTCGAATTTCGACTTGAACCATTGCACAGAAACAGGTCTTAGCAAGAGTAATGTATTTTTGAAAGTTTTAAGTCTTTTGATTTGCTTCTATCCTTAAATGAGAACATCTAATCTGTCGGTGTATTTAAGCAATGTAACAGACACGCTTTTACTATATATAACTGTATCTTAGGATAAGAACAATGACAACACTTGAAACTTTCGCAGTAAGCTATTGTCGTTAAGACCTATTTCTGTGCTAAGTTTCAAGTCGAAATTCGAAAATGAGTTCTCTTCGTATGTCCAAAGAAGATCACGGTATTGAATTACAAAATAAAGTAAAAACGCAGTACTTCTGTAGTAATAACAGCGATTTATCAGTGAGGGAACTTGAGGGCGTGGGCGTAGGTAGGGATTTGAGTGTGAATGAAGCAAGGTGCCTTATCTTCACACCCACACCCATCCTACCTACTGTTCACTATAACACCCACATCCACATCCACCCACCCACACCCATCCTACACTCACACACACACAATCTACTTTGGAAATAAATTAACTACATGAGGATTCTCGCCAAATTATCTTTACATTATTATATCCAGTAATAGAATTCAAAGATTATCCTCTTAATTACAAAGAAGTCGGCGTGTTATTCATCTCGGACGTCAGTTGGTTCGTTTCTTGTTGTGTTACACTTGAAGACACGGAAGAAATGCCCCATTGTATTGTATAGTGTTTTGTAACATCCCGCTGTCGATATAATACATCCCGTATGCGATCATATTGATTAGGTGATAGTAGATCTTGTATTTCGATCTACCAATTATCAAATTGTTCATCGGTAATTGCTGCAAAACGGTTCAGTGTTTTTTTCATTAAAATACGATCAGCTACTGGCAGTTTGCTGAGATATTGTGCGAATTTTTTTGCTTTTTCTATCGGATCAAACTTAACCACTGCCAGATGAGGACTATGCAACTTGCAAGCCACAAGGCTAATGATATTCAATTTACCCATACCAAAGCAAGAAGTGTGATCGATAAGATGCATCTTCAAGTTTGCAGTATCATCGTCAATAGGAGCATTCTTCGGCATTGTAATTAAAATATTTCGTGGATTACGATCTACATTCTCTATTATATGATCGAGTAGATCCATAGATTCGATTGTTGGATCAGTCAATAGTGTTTTTCTTCTTTGCTTTGGTAGTTCCATGAATGTGATAGTTTTTTCATTTTCATTAGCAATATCACTATGTAAAGTTACCAAATCATTTTTATACACTGAAATTTGTGCTTCATTAACAGATAAACCAAGTGTCATTCCCAAAATATAGGCTAACCATTCATTGGCAGCACATAATGGATGCTCTTGTATTTTGACTAAAATTCGTTGTCCTTGAGGATCACGCATCCATATGGATACATTACTGAAACCTTGATCAGGATTCTGACCTTCGAGTGTCCAATCTGATGTAATTTCGGCAAACGCTGGCTTAAGTGAATTATTGGTAGTTTGGTGTTTCATTTCCATTTGTTTTTGTCTGGCTATTCCTTTCCTCACAGCTTGCAAAATATCGTCACTGACATGTGATCCTCGTGCAAATACATCGACCATATGCAATGTACCATCAACCATTACTTTAAAGGGACCTCGAAGCCAGTGGACAATGTTATTGGAGAGATGTATTTTTTGACTAATTCTTGGTGTTGTACTAGCACCAATGACTCCTGCCATTTTTTCATCTTCTGAATTTATTTCGTTCTCTGCTTCAGTTGAATCAAGTTCACTTTCATTTAAATCTAGTATTAATGGACTCATAAGTTTGAGAAGTAAATGAGACAGTACTGAATTGTCAACGTTTTGCTGTCTTAAGCTATTTCTTGAATTACTAATAATAGATCGTAAATGACTTCTATCTTTCTGTAATAGCGGTGATTCGATTGTTTCTGATACATTGGCCGACTGAACGTTCGTATCATAAGTTTGTAATTTTTCTTGTGATCCTCTTGTGGCACTATAATTATTGATTTCTTCTAGTTTTAAATTTAGTTGTTCAGCCTCTTTTCTTAAGCTTTCAATATGATTCTCAAGATAAAAATTCTCATTAGACTCCGATCCATTTGTCTTTGTAATCATTTGCTTTTTCAAATCTTGTTTATCTTCATCCATTAGATCTTCTAGCTGTTGTTGTATTATATATGTTTTTTCTTCGATTTCGTTTGATCTCATTTGGTATTCATAAATTTGTTCTATTAAATCCAATTGAGGATTGGTTGATAATTTTGATTTTAATGATTTCAAGTTTTTGTTCAATAAGTTATGAACATGTAGTACATGTTCAAAATCTTCTTGAAGTTTTCTTTGATGTTCCAAATAATGATCGATACAGTATAACAGTCCGCATCCTTGGCAGTAGTTCGTAGCTTCTGATTCACATTTAACGTCATATTTACAATATTTGTTCGATAGTTCATTAACTGGTTTCGAAGAAATCATTTTTCGACGAATCCAAATAAATTGTATTAGAATCTAAAATTAGTAAAAGTACAAGATAAATACAGCTGATTGGGATTTCATGTCTATAAATTTTCAGACTCGAGCAATGACAATGAGAGCCAAAACTTATTCTCGAAAAATTGATAGTTGTAAAAAATAATCACTACTTGTGACATTCCGATTCCATCAGAATTCACTTCTCTCGACCATTCTGTTTCATTCTTTTTCTTTTTTATCATGAATTGTTCTAGAAATTTGCGCGGATTGTTATTGAGAAAGAATGTCCCAAAAATTTATCTCGAAAACTCTCTCAAAAACTGTCAAGACAGTCTTCGACGGAGTTGTTGAAAAAAGTGAATTGCTACGGAGTGAGAATTTGGCAGCAGCTCAAACTGACGAAAAGTACAGTTATAAATCAACTGATATCAGAGTCCAAGTCCTTTTTTGATCTCCTTCCACTGTTTCTTTCATCAAGATTTTATCATTGATTTCAATAAGGAAATGTTATTTTGTCTGAAATCTTCAAACTAACATCTACCCTGCTTTCTAAAAATTACTTTACAAAGAACACAACTCTTATTCAAGAAGCGATACCTAAATTAGGTTACGTTTTCTTTTCAAATCATAGAAGAATATTCTCACTTTATTCCATTCTAGAGAACACCAAGGTAGCATTTTCTTATTGAAGTCAATAATAGAAGCTGAATCTAGTGTCCATTATAAGTGTCCATATGACTTTGTTACCGACAAAGACTCAGTTTGTACGACTAAAACATTTGTATATTTTGCTGTGTGTGTAGAAAATAGCAAAAAAAATGGATGACTAATCTTTGATACTCTCGATATATCATCATTTTATTCTTGTGAGCTACACTCTATGTTGATGTTAACGTTTCTTTCATTTCCATCTATGTTTATTGCAATCGCTTGTTTTTCTTAAAAACTTGATAGAAACACTTATACTCGCCATTCAATATCGAATTCAGTAAAATTTTCTGAGAATAACGAGTAGAAAACAATAAGAATACAAATAGAAAAACAAACTGATAAAACAGTGCATAACGAGATGGATATCTCGCTTACGAACGGTTAAGATGCGCCTCATCTTAACTCAAATTGGAATCTGAAAAAATTCTGATCAAACCTTAAATGACGATAGTAAACTTATAATAAATGTCTTATTTGCATCATTCAGTATTGAAAATGTCCAACAGCCATTCCCTATTCTGCAATTCAAACTTGGCAACGCATCATGCACTTGATAAAACGACAAAGAAAAAACGTACTCATTGCTCCGAAGAAAAAAAAAGAACGTCCTTGATTTGTTTATTACATGAATACAGTCTCGTCACCTGAGAGAAGAATGATTAATCGCGTCGTATTATACCAGAAGAATTAGAATCGCAACAATCAGCAATAAATGAAAAAAAAATGCGAAAATCATCATGCCTTTATATATAACGCAAAAGTCGCCAATAATTCACGATGAACGGTCAGTTTATACCTCTTTTCGTTGCAAATTATGCTCGCCAAATGTATTGCAATTTTCTCAATATGCATAGAAAGAGAGAATGAAGACTACATTTTGTGTTTCAAGTTATAAAAGATTCTTTCAATATCGAAATATAAATTTATCTACTCGTAATGCCCCTAGCACAGCGAAGGACAGCATGACGTACATAATTTTTTTCTCACCTGCATGGAGGCAACATAGGTGTCAGCGGACGTATCGAGTGTTGTACATGCATGAATCATTCTCGTGAGATACTATGACGTTTTTTTCTTTTATTAACATCAATGAAAAAAACAATGCTCGCCTTATTTCTTTCTTTCCTTTTATTAACATCAATGAAAAAAAAAAATGCTCGCCTTGTTTCTTTTTTTTCTTCACATATGTCAAGATAATCAAAGTATATTTTCTCGTTACTGCATCATTTTGGGATGCATGGCCATTTCTAATTGCTAAGGGAGTCTGTTTCACATTCATTTCACTCTCTTGTCCACTCTCGAACAACAATTGTCTTCGTTTCATTTATTCCTCATGGTAACGACTTTGTCCCTGTTTTCATCAAAACTTCATTGAGTATTACTTTAACTCTTTCACTTTTTCTTCCTCTTTTCTGCTTGTGTAAAAGAAAAATAACAGACGAGTTACACATTTTATCATATTCTGATGTTAACTTAATAGATCTAACAAATGTGGCAGAATACATCGTAGTCTCAGTATTCCGTTGATAATTAAGACAACTTCTATCATTCTGATCTTATCTTTTTTCTAAAAAGATTCACCATGTAATTTTACTCGAGACGCTATAATTTACTGAGATAATACATTTTTCTCTATTTCTAGAACATAGCTTATATGAGCAATTATGTTGCCCAAAGTTTTCCAAACCTACACTGTTTTCATTCTTTCTCGAAGATAGTATTTGTACTTTTAAAGCACTGTATAAGCTATCTTCTAGAAATAGAGAAAAAATGATTAGTCAAATAAATTATAGTGTCTTATGCAGAATTACATGGTGAATCTTGTTGGAAAAAAGATCAGATCAGAATGATAGAAATTGTTCGAGCTATCAATAAATTACTGAGGTTGCTATCTATTCTAACACACCCGTTCAATATCGAGATTCAAAGACTTTTTTGAACTGAATCTTTTGAAAGTTGAAGCACATAGCATGAAGACTCTATATGAGAAATTTCATTTCTGACTACTGAAAAATAAGGAAGAAAAGAATTCGATAATAAACCGAAAAAATGAATTTTTTCAATGTAATTGCTGATCAGGTCTCAGTTCGATAGACTATAGATCCAAATTCTTTCAGAGCTTCCTTAGTCTCACCGAGCCATACTTACAGCCAAAATATAAGGTCGAACAGTATCCGATAGTTTGGGAGATTTCTCCTCGTCAGTTTGTGGGAGCCTATGAACTAGAATATCTTTATTGTATTCGACATATGTTTCCAGTTAATATGTGCAAGTCAGCTCATATATATAGAAACTGATAGAGAAATCCAACCGCTATAAGAGAAAGTATATATTTACGCTCACGATGGAAGAGTAGTGTTTGGTAATATCAACAACAATTATATTAGACTAAGATGTGTTGAAAATGAAAATGTCAAAAAAAGTATCACACTGGTTAGTGATTGAAGTTTCTGAAGAAAAGAGGAATAAAAGTGAACTTGGTCTTTCTTCATATATTTCCTATAGTAGCTTTCTAGATGTGTCAGAGTTTTTTCAGAAAATAAGAAGCATACTCATTTGAGATTCTCAACGAATTCATCGAGTTTTGTCATATAAATAGGAGCCGCTCATAGGACCGAAGATTAGGGGATGTACGAGGGTATTTTCGAAGACAGTTCATAAAGGTAGCGTGAGATATTGGAAAAAAATTGTACTCATCACTGAGAAGAATGGAGAATTTTCGATTATTACCAGTATACACTCTTTCAATTTCCCCTCACTCACGCGGGCACTGCATATAAAAACCTCGCACAGTATTAACCATACTACTATTTATATCATATGTGATGCTAAAAGTTAAGAGTATCGTATTATTGTTTCAAAACATTGAGACTCGATTACTTGCGCGAATTTTAACCAAAAAATACTCACACTTTTCATCTGTATAGATTGTTCATTCTTCGGATAACACTTGTGTTTTATGCATACTAATATCTACCTTCATTAAGATACATTACTGTAACGAAAAGCTGGCGTACCTGTGTACATTTACACTCAGTATTGATGTTTATTGTGCTACTTCATCACTCTAATCGTTATGGCAAATGGAAAAGAATACAAGGCTTGTGCCTCACAGCACGACGCTTATTGAGCTGTAATCGACCTCCAAGCATATACCTCTCCAAATGCATCTATTTTACATATGACACGAGCTTATTTACGAGAAACATGAATGAGAAGAGAAAAAGGACGAATGCAAGATAACGGTAACAAGAGAACGGAACGCAATCACACACAGAGGACAATAAAAGAGAAGCAGTTACGCAGATTGATAGCTAATGTATAACAAGATAAAATGAAAGGAGAAGTATTGTGCAAGAGTGACGTGCTTATCGGCACAATTGCCCTAGTTTATTTATGTATAGCGATAATGATAACGCAATTTATCCCTTATGCACCGCCAATCACTGGAAAAGTAAGTGTCCACTTTAAAAGAGTTCACTTTTTCGAGTTATTCTTAGAAAGTGACGCAAAAGAGGAATAATCGACCAAAAACGGACAAACACGATGGGTTCGGAAAAAAAGAAGAAAAGGAAAATCATTCATAACCCAAATATCTCAGTGACATTTGCACATGCCTCATGTTTTTCTTCAATTGTTGTAATATAAGTCAATGTAGAATCTTCGTCTCTTTTCACCAGTTCTCATTTCTTGCTTTGCTATTTAATCTATAGGAAAATAGGATTGCTGATATTTTGGATTCTTATTCTACATAGAATACAGCACAGTAACATTATAAAAGTCATTCACAAGCACGCACCGAAGAAACAAAAATCACTAAATACTTTTCTAAAAATTTATGAATTTATATTAACATAAAGTATGATAAAAAAGTAATGGGACAAATATCGGACCCCGCTTCTCTTCGATAGCAAAGTGTTAGAAGAAATGTTTTTCTACCAGAAGATAGAGCTTTTTCTCCTCTTTCGAATCGTATATATCTTATTTTTGTAACACATTTATAAATGGAACGCCATGATAGAAAAGAGAACCACTCTTAAAAAGAATCCGCACTATTTGAGAGATTCAGAAAATTGACACTAAATTTTGATCCCAATATCTCTTTGACAAATAGGTTCTGAAAAGAATATTTTTTTATCGGTTTATAGAAAGAAACACTTGCATTATATTTTCGTAATTTTTAGATAAATTCATCAGAAAGCATCTTCCAAGAGAACCATAAATTCGATTTTTATGAACTCGTTAGAGACATCTTGTGAAACGACATTGAATAATAATTAAACGTCGTTCACAAGATATTTTTGATAAGTTCGTCTAAAAATTACGAATTTATTACGCGAGTGTTTCTCTTTTTTTCTCATGTCATTTCATTTACGAATGTCTGACAAATATAATTCATAGACTGTTCGATACAGGAGAAAAGTTCCTATCAACTGATAAAAAAATATTCTTTTCAGAACATATTTATTGAAGAGATATTGGAATCAACATTTTGTGTCATTTTTCTGAACCCCTCAAAAACTGCGGATTCTTTTATAGAGTACTTTTCTTTTCTATCATGGCGTTTCATTTATGAACGTGTTACAAAAATAAGTTATATACGATTCGAAAGAGGAAAAAAGTTCGATCTTCTAGTAGAAAACACTTCTTCTAGCACATTACCATCGAAGAGAAGCACGGTTCAACATTCCTTCCATCACTTTTTCATCATACGTTATGTAAAGAAACATTTTGTATTCAGTTGTTTTGTGCTAAACACATCAGAAATAATTACTTCAAAGATAATCAAACAGAATAGAGTTTAAACTAAAGGACTCTAATAAATATATATTAAGTGATAAGGTAAATGCTGATGTTGAATGATCGCCTGTGGAGTGAGTTTTTTTTAGATTAAGACCAGACTTACATCTATTCAAAGAGACAAATAATCGAAATACTACTCAATGCAAGATGTCTAAAAAAGATGTTGCAATCTGCAACGTATATGATACACAATCTCTTGCAAGCCAAGACAAAATTGGCTTAAAAAATTTTCTTATGGTTCTATCGTGCTTATTATCCGGTATATTGACTACATATCTCATAAGTAATCCTTATGGTAGCTATGTTCCAATCATCTTAATAGCCATTTATGAATGGTATAGATCTTATCCACGATCAATACGTTCATTTTATGGTTTATGTCGATTATTATTATTCATATTAATTATTAGCTTATGGAATGTATTTGTATTGACACTTATCATTCAAAGTCTTGCTTCATTATTAGGTTATCGTCATATGACAATAAACAAAGTTCAACATTTATTTCCATATGCATTAATGTTTACTACCTTTGCTCGAAATAAGCATGATATGGATTTAAATGATAAAAGACGCTATATAATACATTTATTATATGATATACCAGCATTTTTATTAGTTATAGGTTTTAAATTATTAAATAATCCATTAAATTCATTATGTAGTCAAATTACGACTTGTTGTTATTTAGGTTGTTTGCCTATTCCTGCCGATGTAGAAACATTAAGTAATATTGGGATTAAATATGTTGTTAATATGTGTGCAGAATATAGCGGTCCACGTAAAACATATAAAAAATATAATATAAAGCAATTACATTTACCAACCGTAGATAGTACAGCACCATCATTAAAGACAATTGACAAAGCAATTAAATTTATGAAAGAAGTTTATACAAATAATGAAAAAATATTTGTTCATTGTAAAGCTGGTATGGGAAGAAGCGCTACGATTGTATTATGCCATTTGGTTGCTAATGAACAGATGTCACCGAAAAATGCATTAAAATTACTCAAAGAAAAAAGACCTGAAGTATCAACTAGTATTATCACTTATGGATCTGTAAAACAGTTTTTCACCTTGTTGAAAAGCAATAAAACGCAATAAGCTTTGTCTATGGTTTTTCAATTTACACTCACGTTCAAAAAGTTCTCAGGCTGACTTTATTTTAAAACAAACCAAGAGGCTACTCCCTTGGAATTGTTTTTCATTGGTAGCTCACGTAGTTCTCTATATATTGATACCATGATCACTTATGGATTTAACGTTGATGTGATAACATCACAAATTGTTTCAGATCGCACTGCCTAGGCTGATGGAAAATCAAAAACTTGAACATTGCTCAGTAACAAAGTTTCTTGTTTTGGAAGGTCAGTCACCATCGAATATTTTATGAACACCTCATGCCAGTGTATAGCGATAATGACCCACCACCCACTGTGGTGTTTGAGTGGATTCATCGCTTCAAACGTGGACAGTTAGACATACATGATAATTCTACTTCTGGACGCACAATTATTGCGACTGATGAAACAATTATTTAGACTGTTGAGGATCCAGTCATCGAAGACCGTCGAATTGTAATTCAACAAATAATCGACACTATAGGTATTTCAGCTGGCAGTGTATGGTATATTACGTGAACGATTACATATGATTAAAGTTTGCTCAAGATGGGTGCCTCATTTGTTATATATATATGTCAACGACATAAACGTTTCCTATGTGTTGATGGAGCATTATTGTTGTAAGCTGGCATGAATTGTTCATAAATGTTTGATGGCAACTGATCTTCCAAAACATGAAGCTTTTTTACCGAGCGATGCTCAAATTTTGATTTTCCATCAGTCTAGGAAGTGTGATCTAAAACAATTTATGAGTGTAGATGTGGATGCGTAAGTGCAGGTGTCAAGAGAAATGAACACCCACACCTTCTGTGTTATCATTTTAAATGATGTCTATCCATCCTCCTTGTCTTTTTTCTCTGTACCATAGATGAAAAATGTACCCTAGTGCGATGGATCCAAATCATTGGATCGAAATCGAAAGTCGACTGTTACGTTCACAAGCAACTTGATGAAAGCACTGATGCACTGCAATGATAGATTTTATTATTTTCATAGTCAAAACAAAGAATAATGTATGTCAGTCTTCATATTTTCGAAAGTACAATGATAAATTGATGAAGTGCATATTGACTAATACTCAATGGAAAGTCCATGATTTTTCCGATATGTAATGCAGTTTTGTCTAACAGTGTTACGTAGATAAATAACAATTGAAGATGCAATCCAACCTTCAATAGCCGATGTCTGTCCTTTAACACAGTTGTTTATGTAGTCACCAATTTTATTCCAATCGTGTTCTGTACCACAACCATTCATATTCAATGAATTTTGTAAATCTGTATTGATATGATAATTCGCCATTGTCGATTCACACAATCGACGAGCTATGTAATCTCCCACGACCATACCAGTGATTGCCTCTGGTGGAATGTAGTACATCTGGGCTGTAGAATCAGTAAAATTATAGGTAGATGCGGAACATGATTGGAGTTTCTTTGGCCAGTCACCTGTTTTTTTTAAGAACGGATCAACAAATGCTGCCACAACCTTATCCAGCCAAATAGAACTATTTAATGAATTTTTCTCGAGGCATGATTGTTTAGCGATACATTTCTGGTTGATAATGAATCCATTTTGATGTGCACCCGTTGGTGTCGATAATTTTTCGAGATCTGTCACTCTTGTATAACATTGATCATCTATTGGCATATAGTACAGAATTAAAGTATCACTAGCTGAACATGAATTAACCGTTCCATCCACTTGTAACACATTTTTTCCAACTTTTAAGGTGACTTGTGCAGATCCAGAACCAAAAAATTGCATTAATCGTGTGAATGTACCTGATTGCCTAAAGAATATTACACCATTTATTGTCGCCACAGCACTACCGACATCATTTGGTGATGATTCACCACTTCCAGTGCCAGTAATCGTTACTTGCGACTGTCGTAAAATTGAATTCGATGTGGGTGAAGTAAATTTGATTGAACATGCTCTGATACTAACAACGAGTATACCCATCAACAAGAATATTAATGACATGCAAGAAAGCGTCAGCATCTTAAAATCTATTCGATTCGAATGATATAAGTCTACGATCGATATTAGAACGATTCAAATTTATATAGGTGAAAAAGCGGAAGTAACAATAATCAACATGAGTAATAGACATTCCTAAATACGTAATGACAAATATAATGGCATGATGACAGTTCAAATGAGTCATTCGAAATTACTCATGCTTGCGTTCTCTTTTCTAGAGTAGTAGGACACATGGTAACTGCCATGTAAGAGTATAAGAGTGAGGCTAATATGACAACAAAAAAACAATTAAGAAGAGATGAAATAAAACAAAAGTGGAAAACAACTGCAGTGAGGACCAATTGAAATTCCTGCTATTATTTTTTTGTTTTTGTTATTATAATTTTTTTAATTTTTTAATCTGCTATATATAGCGAGAAAGCCCCGAACGCGCTGCATCTTTTGCTATACTTGTGTTGAACACTAAATGCAGTTTAAAGTGTAAAAAATGTATTAAAAAAAGAAAGTAACATTTTTTTTCCTACGGAATGTCCATGTTGTAACATTGTTTATTTCGCATATATCTCGACTTAGGTGAATGATAAAATCTTGAATTCGTTTCGAAAACATGCGCCATGAAAAGCTCTATAAGATCTGTATGATTGAATTTCATGTTACCTGTCCTAATGGTTTTTCTTGGGTGAGGTGTCAGCGTGAGCGTGAGTGTCGGTAAAAAGAGAATCCTCATCCATACCTATACTCATACCCCCACACTCACATCCATACACGTCACCCTTATTCAGTGATATTGCATTACCTATTTGATATTTTATTGTGATATATACAATTAGTTACGATTGAAGCTTCATCAATCGTGTTAACTTCTTCAAAATACGAAAAAATGAACGTCGTTTTTCAACTAAATAAAATAAAAAATTTACATACGAATCTCTGTTAGCACCTTATGAAGCAGTTCATAACTGTAGAACTTATTTTATCAATACATTAACATCAGAACAAGAAATAAATTATTTATTTTAAATTACAAATTATACGATTGATTTTGTTATCGATACGGAATCTGACTTTAAGTTAAATATACCGGCTCTGATTCAAATTTTATTTGTTCAACCAATTAATGATGAGTCACCAATGGTAATCGTCGAAATGAATCATCCATAGGATTTTTCATCGTTCTTGTTTACACATTAATCGAATTATTTCGATGTATTTTTCGTTCAGATTCACATTTACATTCATGGGGACCTCTACTACAGGAGCGAAGTCATTGTTTAATATATAAAAATTTTTCTTTTTCTATTTTTTCATGCAGTCATGATGTGCAGGAACTATTTAAAGAATGGTTTAATCAATAGTTATCTATTAATATTTCATCATCATTTAATAATACTATCCAAGATAATTTCTATATATTGATTATTAACGCACCTTTATATGATCCAGAAATATTTCTACTTCCTTCAATGATAAATCATTTAAAATTAAGTAAACATGAAACCTGGAGCTTGCAGGATGCAATTGCTTATACGTTTACTAAATATTTATCCACGCGTGAAACATTAAAACAATGGTCTATTGATTTAGTTATTCGATTCCATGAACAAGATCAATTTTTTTCTTGCAAACATCGGCAATGCTTGATATGGTATGCTATATTTGATTGTTTATCTGTAGCACATTTATATTGTTCATGAACGATTCATAAATATCGCTTGATCCAAAGTTTATTACGCGCATAATTTTTCCAGATTGTGTGATGACAAGTCCTGAGCAAAATGATTGCCATCCAACAACTGATTTTAGGTTGCTTCAAGTGCAAGAACGTCATACTGTTGTCAATAGTACTAGAACAAATAATTTAAATTCTTCTCATAAACGTTCATTATCGGTACGTAAACGAAGAAATCAAAAAACAAGTATCAGACATGGACGAAATAGATCTCATTATGAACTAATTCGACCGGTAAATATGAAAATTACTGATGTAAAACGAGTATTGCAGTGCAGCCATGTTAAATATAGTAGCATTAATACAGTCAAATTAACACTGTACACTGGTGTCAAGTCACAAGGTCAACAAGAACTAAATGATGAAAGATTAATACCAATGAACATGTTTGTTTAAAATTTGTTTCTTTTTTTTTGTTTTATTTTATTCTTTCTTTTTTTCTTTTTTCGCCTTGTGCGGGGAGATGTTAGAACGACCATCTATATTATAGGTGGAAGATCCTCTTCCTTCTCGATAGATAGTTCTAGTGAGATATATTTTATGTTTTCATTAGTTGTTTTCGTGTGTGTTCTAGTGCTTTGTTATTGTTTATTATTATTATTGAAAGTTTTTGCTCTGAGATCATATTCTTAGGATCCTCTAAGTTTCTTGAAATAAAGAAGGACTAAACTGAAACTGCTTGTTCATACGCATCACACATCTTTCAAGAATTTTGATCAACGTTTACTGAAAAACGTCACTTTCCCAAAATAAGCATTTCCTGTCTGAAATGCCCTAATTCGAAAATTTTTATTCATATGTATGTGGCAGATCTAGACTTCTCACTCGAATGAAACACATTGCTGTTATCAATAGTTATCGTATGGGACTATGCATAATCAAAATGTGTGATTCTACTAAAATTCAACTATACATACGACAGATTCCCTCATTTTCGATCTCATACATATTTACAGCTAAAACTCCATAGCCTTCCAAAGGCAGATCTTTTCTAAAAACATACACGAGTCATCCAAGATCCAAAGTCGTTCGTAAGAACTTATAGAGATTCTATCAGCAATCAACAATGGAGATTTTCACTGACTTCGACAGTTAGATATCATTGAGTACTCTTTGGATCCTGTCGTATGATCGAGTTTCAAGAGATTCGATCAGATCCATTCATTTATACATACTCTTTCGTTAGACATAAGTATATTGACAAGTCGGATTGATTTTTTGTGTACGAGAAAATTTATTTCATATATATAGTTTCGTGTTTATAA